GTTTGCCAATAGCAGGCTGTCAGTAAACATTACACTCCTTCTCCAAGGAATATAAAAAGCGTGGGAAGACACAGCAAGAATGCTTTACTTCAGTGAGGTGCTCATTCTTTAAGAGTTACCAGTTAACTAATAAATGGAGCCTTCCTTAACTTCAGAACCTTAGTGGGTATTCTGCTATCTTTTCTCAAAGGCTGACCTCAGAAGTCAGTGGGGTAGGTGTCAGCAGCATTTACTGTGCTTTACAGCCAAACATCTCTGTTTTATATACAGCTCAGTCCTTCCTCTGCTTCCCACAGCTCAGCTCAGCTCCTTCATCAAAAAACAAAGGTAATTCAATCAACAAATGTTTGTATTTGACCAGAAGAAAGAGTAGGGAAAGAAAGTGTTTCTATTTGCTGGTTCTCTCCTCAGTTGTCTGTAATAGTCCCCTGCTGGGACTAAAGCAGAAACTCAATCCTGGTCTCCCACACCGGTGTTAGGAATCCAATTACATGAACCATGGAAGGGTCTACAACAGCAGGAAGCTGGAATCAGGACTGGAGGTCGGTATCAAACTTAGGTAGTCTGGGATCCTAACAACTAAGCCAAAGGTTCACCCCTTTTTATTATTAAGCTGCTGCCTGGGATGCCAGCTTCCCACACTGCAGTCCCAGCTGCTCTGCTTTTGATCCAGCTCTCTGCTAATGCACCTGGGAAGGCAGAGGAAGATGGCCCAAGTCCTTGGGCCCCCCACCACCCACGTGGGAGATCTAGATGGAAGTTATAGGCTCCTGGTTTCAAGTCCGGCCCAGCCCTGAACATTGCAGCCATCTGGGGAGTGAACCAGCAGATGGAAGGTTCCTTTTTTCTGTCTCTCCCTCCATCTCTGTCACTCTGCCTTTCAAATAAAGAAAATAAATCTTTAAAAAAACTTCTAAATTGTTATGTATTTTCTATTTGAAAGGGAGAGAGAGAGAGAAACAGAGAGACAGAGACTGCCGATCCAATGGTTCACTCCTCAACTCATGACAGCCTGGGCTGGACTAGACTTAAGTTGGGAAGCCAATCTTGGTCTCCCACACAGGTGGGAGGGACTCAGCTACTTCAGCTATTTATTATCTGCTGGCTCCCAGGGTATGCCTTAGAAGGAAGCTAGAATTAAAAGCACAGCCAGGATTCAAACTCAGCACTCTGATATGGGATGTGGGCATCTGAAGTAGTGTCTCAACTGCTATGGCAAATGTTCACTTCCTTTTTTTTTGTTTGTTTAGCATGGTCAGCAAGCATTTATGGAGCATCTATACATAAGCCAACTATTGAACAAAAGTATACAAGACAGACATGGTTTCTGCCCTCCTCAAGGCCAACAGAGTCCTACTTCAAAGGGTTGCTGCAAAGATCATATAATATGTAAAGGAACATGAGGGTCTAGGGTTGTGGCTCAATGGGTTAAGCTGCAGTTGGTGATACTGGCATCCCAAATCAGAGCTGGTTCAAGTCCTGGCTGCTCTGCTTCCCATCAAGCTCCCTACTAATGCACCTGGGAAAGCAGAAGATGGCCCAAGCACTTGGGCTTCTGCCACCCACATGGGAGACCTGGGAGTTCCAGACTACTGGCTTCAGCCTGGCCCAACCCTGGCCACTGTAGCCATTTGGAGAGTGAAGGAGGACTTCTCTTTCTGTCTTTCCAAGATAATTTATTTTCTTTATTTGAAAGGCAGAGTGACAGAAACAGAGAAGGCGGGGTGGGGTGGGGTGGGGAAATAGAGATCTCCCATCTACTGGTTTACCCCCAAATGACTGCAATGGCTAAGACTGGGTGGAAGCCAGGAGCTAGAGCTCCGTCCAGGTCTCCCACGTGGGTGGCAGGGGCTCAAGCACTTTGGCCATCTCAGTTGCTTCCCTAGGAGCATCAGCATGGAGTCGGATGGAAAGTGGAACAGCCAGGGCTTGAACCAAAACTCATGAGATGCTGGCATTGCAGGAGGCTGTACCACAAGACCAACCCCAATAAATAGATCTTTTAAAAAATGCTGGCATCAGAATCAATTTAAAAGAACTATAAAATAATGAGCCACAAGACAAGTGGATTCAGATTTTGCAATATTTTTATATTTACAATGATTTGACAAAATGCATCCTTATAATATCTGCAATGTTTTTAATATGGCTAGCTTTCAGGACTGGCGCTGTGGTCCAGCTGGCCCTGGCCAGCAGTGTCGGCATCTCATATGGGCACTGGTTGGAGTTCTGGCTGCTCCACTTCTGATCCAGCTCCCTGCTAATGTGCCTGGGAAAGCAACAGAAGATGGCTCAAGTCCTTGGGCCCCTGCACCCACATGGGAACCCAAAGGAAGCTCCCAGGGATTGGCTCAGCTCTGGCCACTGCAGCAATTTGCAGAATGAACCAGCAGATGGGAGACCTCTCTCTCTCTCTACCTCTCTCTGTAACGCTTTCAAGTATATAAAATAAATATTTTAAAAAAATATGGCTAGCTTTCAAATTCAAATAATTTTGGTGGCATTTATTATAGTAGGATTTTGGTTTTCTTCTTTTTCATTTAAAAATCTTAATTCATGTTGCTGAAAGGCAAAACAGAAATAACTTTGTATGTCAAACAGCAGTAGCACAGTATGTTTTACAGAAAAGGAGACTTAAGAAATATTTATAGGATAAGTCAAACAGCACAATTTTAGTTCAGTTGTGTGGCTAATGGGTTGTGAGCATTCAGAATGTATTTTACATAGTGGATACCGCAGGATGGAAGAAAGAGCTTGGCCTTCTGGACAGAAGCAACAGCGGGTTCTTTTAGTTCACTGTCTTGAGGGAATTCTTTTTCTCTTTTTAAACCATGGTGTTAAATCACAAGATCCTCAGTTCACAGGGAAGCAGCCTAAACACCATGCAGAGGAAAGCACAACAGCCTGAGGCCAGCCTTGCTTCTCTTAATCTAGTGTGCTGTTTTCTTTCTCTCCCTTACTTTTAATTGAGAAAGTAATACATAAAATTAAAATTGGAAAAAAATTGATACCACATTCTGACCACTGATTTCAATTACAAATAAAAACTAGTACAACCTCCTTTAAGAAAAAATTATCTATCACAATGTCTCTATGAAGTTTTAGATTCTACAGCTGTATTCACTCATGTGCAAAATAAATAGTGTGTAACGATATTGAATGTATATTCACAATAGCTTTAAAAGACTAGAAACAGTAAAAATTCCATCAGTACAAGAATAGGTTAAATATATTAAAATGCTTACACCAATACAAGGGAATAGCATGTACTTTTAAAACAATGGGGAAGATTTTTTTAAATCTTTTTTTTTTTTTAATTTATTTGATAGAGTTAGTGAGAGAGAGAGAGAGAAAGGTCCTCCATCCAATGGTTCACCCCCCAAATGGCTGCAACGGCCGGAGCTATGCCGATCTGAAGCCAGGAGCCAGATGCTTCTTCCTGGTCTCCTATGCGGTGCCGTCCTCCACTGCCTTCCCGAGCCACAGCAGAGAGCTGGACTGGAAGAGGAGCAACAGGGATAGAACTCGGTGCCCCATGGGATGCCAGCGCCGCAGGTGGAGGATTAACCAAGTACGCCATGCTGCTGGCCCCCAGGTGGGGGGAAGATTTTTGGAAGAAGCAAAAAGAGGTACCGAAAGATGAAAAGAGCAGACGTAGAACCTTGGTGAACAGTAAGCTACCATTTGTGTAAAAATTAAATGTACAAAAAGATACATATGTCCTGTGTAAAAATAAAACACCTCTGGATGAAGAGGTAGGAAACATAATCACGGAGATCCGAGTGGCTGGGAGTCACGAGTAAATGGGAAGTTGAATTTTTATGTTCTTTAACTTTTGAATTGCATACTTTGGAGATATACATACATACATATATATATATATATATATATATATATATATAAACTTTTCTTCTTTTTTTTGTTTGTAAGCAATACATGCATAGGATGCAAACCTCAAATAGGAACAGGTGTTTGCATAGTGGTTAACACACTGCTTGGAATGCCTACATTCCTTATCAGAGGACTGAGGTTTGAGTCCCAGTTCCACTCCTGATTCCAGCTTTCTGCTAATGTGCATCCTGGGACACAGCAGGTAATTGTTCAAGTAGTTGAGACCCTGTCATCCATAAGGAAAGCCCAACTGTAGTTCCCAGTTTCCAGCTTTTGTCTGGCACAGCCCTGGCTGTTGTTGAACTGGAGGATGGAAACTATCTCTTTCTCTCTCTCTCTGTATCTCAAATAAATAAAATAAATATATACTTGAAAAAATCCAAATTCCACAAAAGAGTATGCCCTATGCCCGGGGCAAATTGTACTGACAGTCTATCTCCCTAGATAGGTTGTAGTGTCATGCAGACAATGCTCCACCTTCATAGAAAGACATCCTGAACAGCAAAGAAAATTATTAGTCTTAAGAAGAAAAGCACTGCAAAGTTAAAATAGCCTTTAGAAAATATTAGTAAGCAGTTAAAGTTCTAGATAGAGTGGAGAGACAGCTCCTCTCCAAAGGGAGCTTTACACATTCTAGGTGCAGAGGCAAACTGAGTTGCAACAAACCATTAAAGAACAATTGAATGTTAAAAAGGAGCTGAGGGGACTGAACACAAGCATAATAACAGATGGAAGACGCACTTGTATCAATATTAGCTGAAAAACTGTCATTTTCAGAAGAGGTTTGACCCGAGTTAGCCCATATACCATTTAAAAAGTTTAAAAATAAATAAGTAAGAGTATTTAAAAAGTAAAAAAAAAAAAAAAAAAAATTAGGCAGAACCCAAGGGATATGTGCCATAAATAACCTAGCTATAAAACTTTACAACCACCCAAGTTTCTGAGATCCAGTAACTTCTTGTTATATTTCTCTAGAAGGCACAACAGTTTGGAAAAGAGAAAGTGCTGCTCCTGCATATCAAGTTTTCCTTATTTTCAATTAGCATTTTAAAGTTTTCATACGTGTTATTCACTTACTCCTTATAACCTATAAGCATAGTAGTACTCACATTTTTCAAGTGAGGAAACTGAAGATCGTTCTGGTGAAAAGGAGTCAAAGTGTGACTTGCCTTTCCCCCACTTTCTGGCATGAGAGTGGGGGAGCTTCTCAGACCGACTACTCAGCGAAACTGGCCAAAGTTACAGAAAACAAAAACAACCTCCCTCTCACCAACCATTTAAAGCAGGCATGGGAAATGTCCAGTCCATGGGCGGCATAAGGCCTGCATAAGGCATTTGGTCTGGTCCTGCTTATGACAACCACAGGCGGGACTTGAAATTTGACAAATCTATAGCAGGCTAATTTTTAAGTTGATGATTGTGTATGGCCCATGAATGATGTATAAGCACCCAAAAGGCCCTAGACAGAAAAAAGGTTCCCTACCCCTGCAGTATCTGGAAATGCCCTTAAGAGTACACAACAAATGAAGAAACACCTATTCAAGAAAAGTCACTAAAATTTGGTAAGGATAGAGTCTGTAGGGTCTCAACTAGGTCTATTCTCTCCTTTCCCTTCACAGCTCAGCATGACAGACACACACACCAGACTGACAGCCACCCACACAAGGGTCTCTCTGTTTATGCCCCTGTTCCCAGTTAAAGGACCACCCAGCTCACAGGGTGTGGGTTCCACGTCAGGAGGGAAAGACAATGACACCTGGGTATGCTGCTACCCCCTCCACCAAACACTGAGCTCCTAAGTCAGGAGGTCAATTGGAGAGAAACATCATTGTCCCTGTCTCCAGCTTGACAGGCCTGGCTCAGAGATTCTGCCTGGATGGGAAAACAGGCATAAACAGAGGCCCAACTCTCTCCCTAAAGGAGGTGACTTCATGTGCAACAGTGTGGAAAGGCACCTAGAGTGTACTCTCCGAAACAGTGTGCTTGTGGTGAAAGCAACTTGAGATAGATTCACTGGAGATAAAGGCTAAACTGTAGACCTGCTAGTTTTCTGGAAAGAAAGTTGTGAAGAGCCCTTATGGGGTAAGAAACACCCACCTTGGAACTATCAAAACACCGAACTTTGGGGCCAGCGCTGCGGCTCAATAGGCTAATCCTCCACCTGCGGCGCCAGGACACCGGGTTCCAGTCCTGGCCGGGGCGCCGGATTCTGTCCCGGTTGCCCCTCTTCCAGTCCAGCTCTCTGCTGTGGCCCGGGAGTGCAATGGAGGATGGCCCAAGTGCTTGGGCCCTGCACCCGCATGGGAGACCAGGAGAAGCACCTGGCTCTTGTCTTCTGATCAGCACGGTACGCCAGCCGCAGCAAGCCAGCCGCAGCGGCCATTGGAGGGTGAACCAACAGTAAAAGGAAGACCGTTCTCTCTGTCTGTCTCTCACTGTCCACTCTGCCTGTCAAAAAACAAACAAACAAACAAAAAAAACCAAAAAAACAAAAACCAAACTTCGAACTATCCCCAACAAGGGTTCTGAAATTGATTACATCAGTTTGTGGAGGGATTTATGCCCAGGACTTTGCTGAAAATAGTGCATTATCAGTGTTGTGGCACAGTGGTTTAAGCCATGGCCTGCAATGCTGCAACTCGTATTAGAGCATGGGTTCAAGTCCTGACTGCTTCACTTCTGTTACAGCTCCCTGCTAACGTGCCTGGGAAAGCAGAAGATGGTTCAAGTATTTGGACCCCTGCACCATATAGGTGGAGTTCCTGGCCTGGCTCAGCCCTGATTGTCACAGGTAGTGACAATCACAGGTAGTGGGGTAGTGAATCAATAGATGGAAGATGTCTTTCTCAGTCTCTGCTTCTTTCTGTCATTCTGCCTTTCAAAGAAATAAAATAAATCTTTTTTTTTAAAAAAAGCACAATCAGTCTTCGAATAATGGAGTTTATACAGAAACTTCTATTCAATGATAACAAAAAAAAGGAAAACCACACAATGAAAAAGTGGGCAAAGGACTAGCAGAGATGTTTTTCTAAGGAAGATACACAAGAGTCGATATGTGTAGAAACAGGTGCTCAGCATCCTTAGTCATCAGGGAAATGGACATCAAAGCCATCTGGATGACTAAAATCAAAAGTAACAAGTGTAGGCAAGGACATAGTGAACTGGAACTTTCATTCATGCTGGTGGTAAAATGGCATGATCACTCTGGAAAATACAAGGGTATTTAAAAAGGTTCCTGGAAAGACAGAATTAAAAGTTAAGTTTAAGGGGTGGGTGTTCAGTCTAGTGGTAAAGATGCTGGTTAGGATACACATCAGAGTACCTGGGTTTAACACCTGGCTTCGGTTCCTGACTCCAGCTTCCTATTAATGCAGACCCTGGTAGGCAATAGTGAAGGCTTACATAATTAGGTCCTTGCCACCTACGTGAAATCTGCACTGGGTTCCTGGATCCTCGCTTCACCCTCAGGTGCATTTTTGGAGGATCTTTTTGAAATACCTTCACAGTCTGGCAGTTTTTCAAAATGTTTAGCATAGCTACCCTATGACCCAGAAATTCCACCCAAGAGAAATTAAATCATATGTTTATCCACAGAAAATTTTGCAAATGTTTACAGCAGCATTCATAATAGCCAAAAAGTAGAAATAACACAAATATCCATCAACTGATAAATGGATAAACAAAATGTGGTACATTCACACAATGAAACACTAGTTGGATATGAAAGGGAATAAAGCATTGATAAATGCTACAACATGGATAAACCTCAATAGCACTATGCTAAGTTAAAGAAGCCAGTCACAAAAGACCATATGTTATATGACTCCATTTTTATGAAATGTTTCAGGAGAGACAAATGTATAGAAAATAGATTAGTGGGGCCAGTGTTGTGGCATAGCAGGTTAAGCTGCTATCTATGGTGCCAGCATCCCATATGGGCATCAGTTTAAGTCCTAGCTACTCCACTTCTCACCTAGCACCCTGCTAATGTGCCTGTGAAAGCAGCAGAAGATGACCCAAGTGCTTGGGCCCCTGCACCCACGTGGAAGACCTAGAAGAAGCTCTTGGCTCCTGGCTTTGGATCAGCTTAGCTCCAGCCATTGTGGTCACTTGGGGAGTGAACCATTGGATGGAAAACTTCTCTTCTGTCTCTATCTCTCCCTCTGTAACACTGCCTTTCAAATTTAAAAAAAAAAAAAAAAAAAAAAAAAAAAAAAACAAAAAAAAACCTTCAAAATCTTCATTCTTAAAAAAAAAAAAAAAGAAAGAAAATAGATTAGTGGTTAGTTAGAGCTGGAAATAGGAACAACTAGTGCCTGCTAATGCATACAAGACTTATGGAGTGATGGAAATATCTTCCAATTACATCGTGGTGACTGGCTGCACAATATACTAAAAAACATTGTACAGTACATTGTAAGGGGGTAAATTTGATGGTATATGAAATATGTCTCAATGAAACTTTAAAAAAAACATACTCTATCTCCTCATTCCTTCCTAAAGCTATCCAACTTTATTTTCTATGATTTCTCCCAACATCAATCTTCTAATCTGTCCACATGGAGTCTAATATAAATTCCTTGCTCATTTCAATTCTGATTGTTTTCACACTGTTCTGCTTACACAGAACATCATCACTAAGGTATAGTCAAGTTAACATAATCTTTTTCAAGATTTTTCTATTCAAGTCAGTCCCTCACTGATAAATTTTCCCCTAGGTTCCATACTACCTAATTGGTAACAATGTAATCTCAAATGATTATATAAAAAGTTTCACTTTAGTCTCCCAACAACTTCTACAGTCATTGCTACAATTCTAATTATTAAAACAATCTCTTTATCTTTTTTTTCTTTTGACAGGCAGAGTGGACAGTGAGAGAGAGAGAGAGACAGACCGAGAGAAAGGTCTTCCTTTTTCCATTGGTTCACCCCCTAAGCGGCCGTGCCAGCGCGCAGCGCTGATCTGAAGCCAGGAGCCAGGTGCTTCCTCCTGGTCTCCCATGTAGATGCAGGGCCCAAGGACCTGGGCCATCCTCCACTGCACTCCAGGGCCACAGCAGAGAGCTGGACTGGAAGAGGAGCAACCGGGACAGAATCCGGCGCCCAGACCGGGACTAGAACCTGGTGTGCTGGCGCCACAGGCGGAGGATTAGCTTACTGAGCTGCGGTGCTGGCCTATCTCTTTATCTTCTTAGGGACAAACTATAGAAGCTCCTGGGCCTACAATGGGGCTATATCCAGATAAACCCATTTTAGGTTGAGTACATGATCATTTAGTTGAAAATGGACTTAATACACCTAATATGCTGAACATGGTAGATCAGTCACACTGTAGAGTATGGGTTGTTTACCCTGGTCCTCATATGGCTGACTGGGAACTGCCTAGCACCTTGAGAGCATTGTATCACAGATTGTTGGCCCAGGAAAAGATCAGAATTCAAAACTACAATCTCTATTGAATGAGTGTCACTTCTTCACCACTGCAGAGTCCAAAAATTATGTTGGAGACTATCTGTAGTTAGGCCACAACTGTAAAGTCGCAACATAATTTTGCAAACTCTGCTAGTGCTATAAGGCAAAGAGGACCAATCACACAAACAAGTAATACTGTAGGATAAGTAGGATCAAGAGTGAATGAAAAGCATCCTCCATCCTTTATCAACTCCTGGCAACGCACTAGCTTTATAGGCTAGAATCTCAGCTATACCTTTATAACCCCCTTGACATTTAGTGCAGCATCTTGAACACAGATGGTACCAAATGTCTACTGAAGAACAAATGAATGCCTGGAATGCAACTATGTATGTATTCAATAGTTCCCAAACTTCAACAAATATCCAAAGTCTTAAAGCAGAAAGTGGGCCAGAAGGAAACAAAACCAAAATCATAGTGTATGTATGTACTTTTCAACAAGAGTATTTTAAGTATATGCTCTTATTGTGTTTTTTCAAGGTGAACTCTTACGGCTGCCCTTACACCTGAATGGGCACTAAGCATCCTTATCTTTAAATACTTAAGGATACCTCATTGCTGTAAGGGAGAAAGAGAGCACTTTTAAGAGAAGGAAGAATTTAAATATAAGCCTCCGGCCAGCACCGTGGCTAAGCAGCTGCTAATGACACAAGCATTCCATATCATGGTGCTGTCAAGTCCTGCCTACTCTGCTTCCAATCCAGCTTCCTGCTAATGCATCTAGGAAGGCAGCCGATGGCCCAAATGCCTGGGCCCCTGCCATGTGAGGGACCCTGATGTAGTTCCTGGTTCCTGGCATCAGGCTGGCCCAGGCCTGGCTGTTGTGGCCATCTGGGGAGTGAACCAGTGGGTGGAAGATTCCTCTCTCTCTCTGGCTCTACCTATCAAATAAATAAATACACCATTAACATATGTATATAAATGTGTGTGTGTGTATGTGTGGGTAGGTGGGTGTGTAAGAGAGAGATCAAACTAGGTGTCAAGATTCAAATTTCTATGCCTCTACACACAGCCAGAAAGAAATTAACAAAATGAATCTTGGAAGTACAGAGGTGTTTGAGGTGTGAGTAAGAGCACTGCTGGGGGGCCAGTGCTGTGGTGCAATGGGCTAAAGCCCCAATATGCAGCGTCAGCATTCTATAATGGCTGCTAGTTCGAGTCCCGGCTGCTCCACTTCTGATCCCTGCAAATGAGGCTGGGAAAGCAGAAGACGGCCCACGTGCTTGGGCCCCTGCACCCATGTGGGAGACCCAGAAGGAGCTCCTGGCTCTGGATCAGCTCAGCTCCAGCCACTGCAGCCATTTGGGGAGTGAACTAGCAGATAGAAGACCTCTCTCTCTCTAACTCTGTTTTTCAAATAAATAAATCTTTAAAAAAAAAAAAAAAGAAAGCAAGAAAGAAAGAGCACTGCTTTCAAAGGAAAGAGGGTTGGCAGTTACAAAAGCAAGTCTGAGTAGTTGAAGAACAGATCACACACTGAAACCTGATCTAGACCCTGATGCAAGAGCCCAGGATCAAGGAAATCAAGAGCATTCTGGTACTCTGAATAGCCAAGTCTAATTCCACTATGACCTAAAAAACAAACACAGAACAAATCTCCTTTAAGCTTCAGAAGTACTATTTGACTTCTTCTTTTTTATTCCTACCTACCTGGTACTAGCTTTGGTTATGCAGAAGCCAGAAAACTTGCTCACAAGACCTAATCATCCAGGTCTGCTTAGGGGACGTGCCTAGTTGTAAAGTACTCATCTCCAAATGCATCACTGTTTAATTTTGTTAAGGCTTGTTTTTTGCTTGTTTGTTTTTAAATATTTATTTATTTAGAAGTCAGAGACAGAGAGGGACAGAAAGAGATCCTCCATCCGCTGGTTCACTCCCCAGATGTCTGCAATGGCCAGGGCTGAGCCAGGCTGAAACCAGGAGCCAGGAGCTTCTTCTGGATCTGCCACATGGTTGAAGGGGCCCAAGCACTTGACCATCCTCCACTACTTTCCACAGGCCATTAGCAGGCAGCTGGATGGGAAGTGGAGCATTTGGGACTTGAACTAGCACCCAAATGGGATGCCGGCCTTGCAGGCAGTGGCTTCATGTTATACCACAACACCGACCCTGTTAAGTACTTTTAAAACTGTTTAAACTGGGTACTTTTAATAATTATGAGTAATTTTACTTAAAAATTATTTCAAATTATAATTTTCTTTTGTTTTCATTTATTTGTTAAATTTCAATGGTTTAAAATAAGGGATTATAAAATGTATTTAATGAGGGGAGTTTCTCTTAACTTCAATATTCAGAAGCATAAAGGTACAAAGAGAAAATAAACAAGGTAGAGGCCAGCACTGTGGCACAGCGGGTTAAGCCACTGCCTGCAGCACTGGCACCCAATATGGGTGCCAGTTCAAGTCCTGGATACTCCACTTCTGATCCAGCTCCCTGCTAATGCACCTTGGAAAACATTGGAAGATGGTCCAAGAGCTTGGGCCCCTGCACCCCTGTGCAAGACCTGGAAGAAGCTCTTGGCTTCTGGCTTCAGACTGGCCCAGGTCCAGCAGTTGCAGCCATTTGGGGAGGGAACCAGAAGTTGAAGACCTCTCTCTCTCTCTCTTTCTCTGCCTCTCCCTCTCTGTAATGCTGCCTTTCAAGTAAACAAGGTAAATACTTGGAGAAAGTATTTTTTAGAATTAATAAATTGTTACTTTGTCATTTGCTGCCTTCTTCAAATTCATATATATAGATGCCAATACTTGTAGTTTTGATGTTCAACAAGGCATTTATACTCTCTTTGTATAAGGCTAATTATTATAAAGATTTCTTTAAATCATATATGAAGATAGTATTTTTTATTCTTAATGACCCCAATAAGTCAGACACTTCTCTCGCTGAATAGCTGGGTTCAATAATAGAAACAAGCAGTGTTATTATCATAAGTAAGAAAGCACTGAACTAGAGAAAGCAGTTATATATATCTTATCAGTTGATAGAATACATCAAATATATAAACAAGAATCTTGATTTTTAGAGATAATCAGTAAATAAATAAATAAAATAAAAAAGTACCACTCTACAACATTATTTACTACTGGCCAAGAATTTGAAATAGCTGTGAAACTGGTAAATTCAAAAGCTTTCAAATGCTTAGAAGTAAGAAAAACTGGTGGGCCAGCACTGTGGCATAGTGGGTAAAGCCACCGCCTGCAGTGCTAGCATCCCATATGGGCACCGGTTCAAGACTCAGCTACTCCATTTACGATCCAGCTCTCTGTTATGGCCTGGGAAAGCAGTGGAAAATGGTCCAAGTCCGTGGGCCCCTGCACCCTAGTGGGAGACCTGGATAAATAAATAAAATAAATAAATAAAAAAGTACCACTCTACAACATTATTTACTACTGGCCAAGAATTTGAAATAGCTGTGAAACTGGTAAATTCAAAAGCTTTCAAATGCTTAGAAGTAAGAAAAACTGGTGGGCCAGCACTGTGGCATAGTGGGTAAAGCCACCGCCTGCAGTGCTAGCATCCCATATGGGCACCGGTTCAAGACCCAGCTACTCCATTTACGATCCAGCTCTCTGTTATGGCCTGGGAAAGCAGTGGAAAATGGTCCAAGTCCGTGGGCCCCTGCACCCTAGTGGGAGACCTGGAGGAAGCTGCTGGCTCCTGGCTTAGGA